ACATGCAAGCTCACTCTGTGCGGGCAATTCCGCACGGTTCTTGAACAGGATCTGTTCCTGGGGTAGTACACTGTTCTGTATCTACGAAAACAGCAAAAAAAAAAACACGAGATTATTCTGGTTGCAAGTATGATACAAACTTGTTACGAAGCATAGCTGCGCTGGACCGGACATCAGACCAGATAAGGACACCGGATGCCCTACGTCCCCGTTGTATCCCCACAAGCAGATAACCGCGAAATCCCAAAAAAATCCAGACATGTCCGGATCGCTGAATTTTTCTGCAAAAAAGAAAAAAAGAAAAATCACCGAAGCCTAGTTGGCCTTTGAGCGTTCCGAACTACAGCTGCTACACAGTGGTACACTATGTGTTACAAAGGCGTTAAAAAAAAAAAAAAAAAAAAAAAAAAAAAAAAAAAAAAAAAAAAAGTTAGGGGCCACGGTCCCGGCCACCGCCGTTTTGTGATGAAAGGGTAAGGCAGAAACTCAGTGTCTCTCGAGAGGAGCTTCCCATGCCCGTACCCTTTTGGGAAGACAGAAGGGACCATGTCACCACCGCCATTTTTTTATTTTTTTATTGTTTAATTCAGTGTCGCTCGATACGACCTTCTGATGGCAGTACCCTGTTGGGACGGCAGAAGCTCAGTGATGGATGTAACTGTTCATAAGCAGATCATGAGCTCGAGTCCTGTTGGAATCAGATCTGCCCCTGTTTTCTTTCATGAATTGCGATTATAAAAGGGAAAGGCAGAGGCTCACCGACCGTCCAGATGATCTCCAGTACGAGGGACACCCGATCTTTTGCATGCTTTCCTCAGTTTCCTGTTTCTGATGAGGCGTGCTTTTGAGGCCAACTGCCGTAGCGGAATCTGACACGCCTCATCAGAGCAGATGGATGCGTAGCAGAGTCTGATGCAGGTATGTTTTGCAAACAGACCTGTGTTCATTGAACTTCAGTCACTTCACTGCTTATGGTCTCGGTGGCTCGGTGTTGTTGGCGGTTCTCTTGTAATTTGACCCTATCTCTTGCGTGTTTTCAACTTCTTTTTTTTGTCTGTGTTGTTGGTGTTGTTTTAAATAACTTAGTACTCATCTGCTTCCAGTGGCGTTCGAACTCAGGTCCGTATTTCAACAATTCAGTCTAGGGGGGGTGTACCAACTGAGCTAGCTAAGGCCAGTTGGTCATCTCTTCGGTGGGTTGAGTGCTGAAAGGAGTGAGGATGTGCCCACCAGTGGTGTGTTGTGTGTTGGGCAAGGCAAATGCTGACCGTGTGTAACTGACTAACACAGCTCTGTTTTGGTACTACTGCTTTTCGGCGCGTATTGTCGTTGTGGTTGGGTGGATGGATGCTGGCGGTTCTTGTCCGATTCGACGACGACGACTCTTCGGTTCAGTGCGGAGAGGAGTGACAGGTTGTTAGACAGTGCTGGCTTGGGGAAGTTAAATGATGCAAGGAAACAACAGCTGAAGGCAGAGACAGAGGTAATGGGGATGGGGGTGGATGGAGATCAAAGGTTGAGGCAAAGGGAAGAGGAACTCAAGGAAAAAGAAGACAGGAGACGGCAATTGGCGGATATAAATACAGAGAGGAAAAGAATGGAGCAAGAGAGACTGGCAAGGCAGCGAAGGGTGAGTTTGCACATTTTTGTCTTCACCGTCCGTCCGGATGATCTCCAGTACGAGGGACACCCAATCTTTTGCACGGTTTCCTGTTTCTGATGAGGCGTGCTTTTGAGGCCAACTGCCGTAGCGGACTCTGACACGCCTCATCAGAGCAGATGGATGCGTAGTGGAGTCTGATGCAGGTATGTGTTGCAAACAGACCTGTGTTCTATGAACTTCAGTCACTTCAGTGCTTATTGTCTCGGTGGCTCGGTGTTGTTGGCCGGAAAGCTAGGTTGTATACATTGCCCGAAGTGACTGAAGTTCAATGTATACATTGTCAAGGATGACACACATCCCCTCCCAACCCTACCTGACCGGAAAGCTAGGTTGTATACATTGCCCGAAATTGCAATTTGAAACTGTTTTTGGCTCGAAGTGTATTTTCAAACTCTTTTTGTGACTCCCACGTAGTTTCCCGTTCGTTCTTTTTTTTTTTTTTTTTTTTTTTTTTTGCGGGGGTTACGTGCATGGATGAAGGGAACCGGCAATTGACAGGAAGTCTGGAATAGGATCAGAATGGCTCGCGGCTATGGTCCTGAAAAACCCGGCACCCTACAGGATTTGAACCTGAGACCTTCCGATTTAGGAGGTTGTGTCCTATTTAACTGAGTGGGGATCCGGGCCACCCGGGTGATCGGCAGGGGCCCGGGGGAGGTCCCGGGCGGCCTGGCCGGGCAGGGC